GACCAGTGTTTTTCTTCGAGTTGAACGCATTGCCTGGAACGATCCGCGTCAGGTGTTGCCTGCGATTATCTCCTATGGACGCGGGTAGGAAACCTCACACCCCCACTGCCTTTAAGCAGATTTTTCAACCTCCTGGAACCTCTGACTGTTGTCTTTTTTGCAGGGAGACTCAAGAGTCCAGTTTCGCCTTTGAAGACCGAACATTCTGTGATCGTGCGTAAGTCGATTGCTTATCTGTCGTTTTGGTTTTAGCAAGTGTCCGCATTGTAGAGCTTTCGTAGGACTTCGAACGTAGAGAGTCATCATTTAGCCGTGGCCGTATTCACAGAGCTGCCGTAGGCTACAAATCCTGTACAGCCGGATATTTGATAAATATTGAAAATCTGTCGAAAATCATGATAGTATGGCACTCACCGATTAGGTTACAGAAAATACTCGTCTCGATATGCATTGGGGTTCCATCTAGAGCCCTGGTAAGCAGTCGCATGACGACTAGCAGCATATAGTGATAATGTGCTACGGACAAAGCCCAGGAAGACCGGAATGGCCATTTCTGGCTTATTAGCCGTCATTCTCAATCCCTGTACGAGACGTTTTCAATGTTTAATTAGGCTCCTTAAGCATTTAAGTTGGAGTGGGTCTCCATTTTGTTTGATCTGAGTTTCCTCCTGGACCTTGTGACACGTTAAAGCCCAACCGAAAGGGGCGCTGTTTCATGGTTCCTCATGGCCGACATCAGGACAGAGGTTGTCAGAAGCAGCCACGTCCACCACACGTCGAACGGAACAGGTGCAGTACCACTGCCTTGCGCCGCATCCACTTCACTCTTACTCTCACTCACTCATCTTGCTCTGCTGACAAAGTGGTATTACGACGACCTGAGATGAGCGTACTTGCTGAAAAGCTGAGCAACCATCTATATGCTCGCTTTACACCACCTGGTCAAAGTACATGTATCCGGTTATACTAAGAGCGATCTGGACTTCACATACAGTTCTGCGAGTGCTGCAAGCAACTTTCCTAAATTTGTAAATGTGTGTTTATTTCTCCCATACCAGCGGGAACGCATTTACGAAAACTTATAATTAATAATGAGCAGCATTAGGCATATTAAGTACTTAAAAGAACAATAAGAAGTACCAAGTGTTTGTTAAGAAAAATAAAATTTCTCGATAATTCCCAGCTTGTGGAGACGTCAAAAATAGCTATAAATCAGAACAATAAATTTAAATATTTTGTTGAGTAGAAAACTTAAAGTAACCACTTTCTTTGTACAAAAAGAACTTGCCTTTAGTCAAAATATTTTGTATATGTGGTAATGAGTAGATACGTAGTTATTGAATATCGTGGAATAAAGTCTCTCTTCATTTCGCTAGT